AAGTAGCAAGGTTATTCCAATATATGGTCGTTTGGCCATGGCTTTTAATATAATCAACTAGATCATTTAGAAATCTATCATACCACAATGGATTGGTTAAGCTGTAATCATTAAAGAAGCTTGTATTTAGCATATTTTTAAACACACTTTTTAGTAGAAGAAATCGCATGTCCACACTTTTAATCATAGTCCAAATATCTGTTTCTTTGTCACTCTTCCAGTTTTCAATTATTATATATGTTTTTTGATTTACTGCTTCATATTTAAGCTGTCCAGTGTAATTTAAAAACAACACATTTTCAAAACTTTCTATATAACTCGTATAGTTTCGTATAATAAATTGATTTTCAGCGGCACAAAAATACAATGCACTGGCTATAACCAACTTACTGTTAGAATAAACTTTAAGAGGATTAATAGTAGTGGATGTGGTTAGTTCTGAAGTTTCTTTTAAAGGCATTTCTGGGGCCGGCTCTGATGTTAGATCTATTATTGTTTTTGGAATTATATGTATTGACGAGTTATTCATACCCATATAACGAGCTCTTTTGATAGCGTTAGAATTTTGAGTATTGTTGTCTGTATCACGGAGTCTTTTATTTGGATTAGATAGATTTAATGGCCGGCCATCTGTTTGCATAGGTTGGTTAGTATTGTCAGATGGTACAGAACTATAATTGTTAAACATATCCCGCAGTAATGGTGTACCACTTATGCTTAGATTATCTGTTTTACTTGAATTTTTCTTATGCATTGGTTCAAACCCCCCGCAAATTACAATTTCTATACTTATTATAAACATCAGTCCAAATGTAATACATTTCTTTCTTAACTGCTTCATATTGTTCTTACATTTTAATAAATCGTAAATTCTTATATAGTTTGAAATATTTTATATTTTAGAGATATTCTAGAAAGAAATAATTAATCAGCTAAATATGAAATGATATTTCGGGTTATAATTTTCTAAAGCCATATATATTCTATATATTTTATTATGTTTAGCAAGTCTATTTAACATCTTATATTTATAGAATTAAATAGTCAATTTTTTCTTTCTGTATAC